CAACGAAATTCAATGTGGCACGTAAGTGATTAAGCCAGGATTTTAATCTAGTGATGTCTTCTTCCATAGCCTGTACAGTCTCAGAAAGACAGCAGGAAGTGTAAGAGGATAAAAAAGTGGAAAGAATAGAAATAGGGGATAGATAGAAGATAGACAGACAGATAGTCAGACAGACAGACTTCCCTACATCTATGTCTACTCATCTCCCCATAAGGTTCCTACACCCAGAATACACTCACTTTGTTTCTTGCACCTCAGAAAGAGAAAAGTCACTAGGAAATCCCCTGAAACAGCACACTTACAGAGAGTTCCACAGTGGGAGGATGAATACTCAGAGAAAATATGACCTAAGCCTGTCAAGTAATAAACGATAAAAGCACAAATGCTTTCAGTGTTTTTGTGCACCTACTATGTATCAGGTCTGTACCAGAAATGTGTACATGTTATTTCCATGGAATCATCATCAAGCCTCTCTTTTGTTACCCCCCATTGAATCAGTGAGGAGTCTGAGGCTTTGGAAGAGTTTATTACCTTGCCCCTTCCCCAAATCAAGCATTCAGAAAACAACAAAGCAGAAATATAAACTATAAACAACAAAGTAGAAATATAAACTATGGAGACTCCTTTTACTTCACTAAGGACTAAGGCTAAACAAAATAAAAAAATAAATAAATGAATGTATAGTGTGTTATTCCTAAAAGGAAGCACTGGATAAAAATGGGTTCCAGAATAACTTATGTAAATTCATAGACCCGAAGCCCATGAAGAGTTATTAAATGAGGCTAAGAAATCCAGGCATATTCATAATCTTCTAAGTTTAACTTCTTACAAGATCAGGGAAATGATACAATTTTATCCTAAAATATTATAGGACAATGATAAAATTCTGCTGTGACCCCTCCTTTGGTGCTTTTGTAAACTACAATACCAGATCAGTAAGCTCAGGTCTACTCTGGAAGACAATTCTTACAGAAATAGAACCATTCAGCCAGAAGTATGAGAACCAGGCTCTAATCCAGTTTTGCTGCTAAAAGACCATGGTGAGATCCAAGTCTGATTAGTGACATCTCTGGACCTCACATGAAGGCCTAGAATGTTTGACCTTTAAGCTCCATTCCAGTTCAGCATTCTATGGAATCCTCAAAACCTGAAAGGGGCTGACTGACCGGTGTCACATCTCCCATCTCACATCCACCCATTAGGGGTGTTTCCACTAACTGTTGAAATGGTCGATTAAAAACATCATGATTGCAGATCATTTTAATTATTCTATACAGCAAAAAATCAAATCCCAGATCTGCGTCTCCAGCCCAGCGAGGCTCTCAGCCACATCCAGATGTCCTGGGCAACCAGCCAGCCATGACTCTGTGGGTGCTCCATGGAGTCTTATCCAATTAAAAAAGTGAATCTGCCGGAACAATAACAATAGCAGCAATGAATGTCAAAGCTAAGGAGAAATTATTTTTAGATTTGCTATCTTAGATTATCTGCATTGCTGCTCACATCTACATGTCCTCAAGAAAAATGTCAACAAAGGGAAATCTGAGGACAGAAATGCCTACAGACTGTGGGTAATTTCTCTTCTGCAGAAGGTGGGAGATATGAAAAAAAGGGTAAGATATATCTCATGAGGGAAGGAAGTTTTGGAAAAAGTATAAATAAGGGCGACGATATATGGATAAGACTATGGACTATTGGGGACTAGATTGCTTGGGTATAAATCTGGCTCTACCGTTAATTAGCTACATGATGTTTCATTTCCTTAGGCCTCAATTTCCTCATCTATAACGTGGGTATGCAGAGAGTCCACTTACCTTATTGCGCTGTCACTAAGAATAAGTAAATTAAATTTGCAAAGTCCTTGTGAGCATTGCCTGGCACTCTCTTAAATGTTAGCTGTTATGGCTGATGTTATTCGTCACTCAGAAGAGTGAGAACATCTGTCCTCTCCCTGGGGGAGGAAGGTGGCTTAGGCAGGCCTTGTGGTGTTTCCTTCTCTCTCTGTAGCTTCTCCTGCAAGGGTAGAGTTGGATTTGAATCACTGAAGCTTTGAAAGTATCTGTTCTCGCTCCCTCTCCCAGAGAAAAGATTCTTGAACATGCATTCCTAGAATTTGTGACAATTCCTCCTAAAAACTCTAAGAGCAAAAACACCCCTTAGTCTCTTTTCCATTTAATTAGCCACTTTGACTTGCTTCACAGCACCTTGATTTTTTAAATTTTATCGTGTAGCTAACAAATAATAATTACACATATTTATGGAGAACTTAGTGACGTTTTGAAACGTATAATGTATAGTGATATTGTATATCCATCATCTCAAGCATGTATCATTTCTTTGCATTGCAAACCTTCAATATCCTCCTTCCAACTATTTGAAACTATATAAAATTGTTAATCACAGTCATCCTCCAATGCTATAGAACATAAGAAATTCTATCTAGCAGTAATTTTGTATCCTTTAACAAAGGATCTGTCCCTAGCCCCCTTCCCCCTACCATTCCCAGCCTCTACTATCCTCTTTTCTGCTTTTTACTTCTGAGATCAACTTGTTTTTTTTTTTTTTTTTTTTTTTTTTGAGACGGAGTCTTGCTCTGCCGCCCAGGCTGGAGTGCAGTGGCCGGATCTCAGCTCACTGCAAGCTCCGCCTCCCGGGTTCACGCCATTCTCCTGCCTCAGCCTCCCGAGTAGCTGGGACTACAGGCGCCCGCCACCGCGCCCGGCTAGTTTTTTGTATTTTTTTAGTAGAGACGGGGTTTCACCGTGGATCAACTTGTTTTAACTTCCACATGAGTGTTTTTAAAACATGATGTACCTTGAGCTGCTAGGTATTGGTGCCATCAACGGGCCTTGCTTGTCATCTACATTTCTGTGTGGTATGAACATGGAGGAAGAACTGCGATGTTTCTGTTTCTTTTCTTATGCACTCCCCTGCACCCATCACACTTCTCTGAGGAGATGGAGAGGAAGAAGTAGAGGACAGAGCGGAGGCGGAGAGAAGAGAGCTGTCTTGGCACTTTAGGAATCCTCTAAGACAGCCAGGCCTCTCTCTCGTGTTCATAGCAAACAACAATCGGCAAAGAGGAGGCACGTAACACAGGTTTGTTACATTTGCTCAGTAGCATGAAGGGTGGCCAAAAACTGAAAAGTGAATGATCTAAAACAGATGGGAAATGAATCCACCTCCCTCAGACCTACCCAAAACCCAACCCTGCTCTTTCCTTAGAAAGTCTTCTTTCTAGTGGAAGACTTCTTCTTTCAAATGGAAAACATCCATTTGAAAGTCCTGCCCTCAGATACCATGAGGAAGAGCACAGGGTGACACAGAGAAATAAAAACCCTTAGAATTCTCCTCTCAAAAAAAGGTATGTTGCAGGGCATAGTGGCTCACATCTGTAATCCCAGCACTTTAGGAGGCCAAGGCAGATGGATTGCTTGAGCTCAGTAGTTTGAGACCAGTATGGGCAACAGGGCGAAACCCCATCATGTTAGCTCGGTATGGTGGTGTGTGCCTGTAGTCCCAGCTACTCAGGAGACCAGAGTGGGAGGATTTCTTTAGCCCGGGGGTTCAAGGCTGCAGTGAACCATCATAGTGCCATTGCACTCCAGCCTGGGCAACAGTCTGAGACTGGTTTTTTTTTTTTTTTTTTGTCTCAAAAAGAAAGAAAAAAAGTATTAGATAGCAAAAGCCCAACTCTTTGCATTCCTTCCAGTTCTTTCATCTGATTTTCCTGTTGCCCTTTGACCCAGCTTTATTGCTCTTTTACTCTAGGATATAACAACTATGAAGAAATTCCACTTCCAACATTGATTAGCAGTGATTTTAAGAGCAAATAGTTGAGCTTACACTTAAAATTAAAAATTAATAAAAGAGATAGCTCATTAGTATCTATTGGAAAAATTAAACCTCCTCCTCCAGCTTGCATGACCTCAAATCTCTTTCTACCTCCTGGTTCTTCCATCCCGGAAGATTATGAGAAATGCAGCTGACCTGCACACTGTCACTGTTTTCCAAATGTTACTTGCAAATGAGTCACCGTATAATGCTTAGAATGAAACTGTGTTCCGATGACAAATTTGGAATGTACTGCTAACTGAAAGTCAAGTTAGAACAAATACACGTCACCTTTTCTCATGTTGACAAAGCATTAATAAAAATGTTAGGGACATGTCATTCCTGATGCACCCAGGGAAGTCTTCTCACAAAGTGTGTTCTGCTGCCTTAGTGCCTGCCCCAGAGCCTGGCACAGATCTGGGTCTCTACTTAAAACTAAATAAATATGGATTGCCTTGACCTGAGTGACCTTTTTTCAGGACCTGGGTCATAGAAAGTTCTGGATTCAGCCTCAGAATGCAGATTCTGTTCCTAACTTCCTGTGAGCAATCCGTCCTTCAACAATCCCCTTTCCCCCCAACCTGAACTTTATTTTCCTCCTTAAAATTATGAAGCTACATGAGATGATCCCTAAGGCCCTCACCTGCATTATGTTTTTGTGATTCTATGATACACCACAGAAGGCAACTGAGAAATGACAGAATAGGGAAGGCGGGAGGAGACAGAAGCGGAAACTAAAGACATTTCCTGCCATGGGGAAGGAAATGTCTCAGGCTGCAGCAGACACAATACTCACAGCCCTATAGGACCCACAAAATAATAACTGGACTATAGAGGCACATGAATTCTTTGTAAGTAGAGGTCAGGAGTGATGATTGCAAGGAAAGGAGCTAAAATGCAGGCTTCTTTTGAAAGAGCACGTTGAGAAAGCAGCTATAGGAATTCTTGTCCGGCTAAAATCCAGGTTTCTTTTGAAAGAGCACATTGAGAAAGCAGCTATAGGAATTCTTGTCCAGGAGGCAGCAAAAACTGCACTATTTTTCTGAACAAGTCACTAAGACTTCCTTGTGAGAAGGAGTGGGAGTGGTGGACTGGGAATGGACCCACGAACTGTTGCGACCTCTCTGCAGCCACCATTCCTGGTCCAGCCTCTACCTTCCACCCGACTCCTCCTCCACACGCAGGGCCAGAGCATGCGTACCCAACAAGCTCTCCCCTCCTGTGACTCTCTCCCGCAGGTGCCTGTGGGCGGGCTCGTGCATGGACAGCCCCAGCAATGCCACCGTGCCCTGCGGCTTTCTCCTTCAAGGCTTCTCCGAGTTCCCGCACCTGAGACCCGTGCTCTTCCTTTTGCTGCTGGGGGTGCACCTGGCCACCCTGGGCGGGAACCTACTCATCCTGGTGGCCGTGGCCTCGATGCCCAGCCGGCAGCCCATGCTGCTCTTCCTGTGCCAGCTGTCAGCCATCGAGCTCTGCTACACGCTGGTGGTCGTGCCCCGCTCCCTGGTCGACCTGAGCACGCCTCCGGGCCACCGCAGGGGCAGCCCCATCTCCTTCCTGGGCTGCGCCTTTCAGATGCAGATGTTTGTGGCTCTGGGCGGGGCCGAGTGCTTCCTGCTGGCCGCCATGGCCTATGACCGCTACGTGGCCATCTGCCACCCGCTGCGCTACGCGGCAGTGGTGACCCCCGGGCTGTGCGCGCGACTGGCTCTGGCCTGCTGCCTCGGGGGACTGGCGGTGTCCGTGGGGCTCACGGTGGCCGTCTTCCACCTGCCTTTCTGTGGCTCCCGCCTGCTGGTGCACTTCTTCTGCGACATCACGGCGCTGCTGCACCTGGCCTGCACGCGGAGCTACGCCGACGAGCTGCCCCTGCTGGGCGCCTGCCTGGTGCTGCTGCTGCTGCCCTCGGTGCTCATCCTGGCCTCCTACGGCGCCATCGCCGCTGCCCTGCGCCGCCTGCGCTGCCCTGAAGGCCGGGGCAAGGCCGCCTCCACCTGCGCCTCGCATCTGACAGTCACCTTCCTGCACTACGGCTGCGCCACCTTCATGTACGTGCGGCCCAGAGCCAGCTACTCCCCGCGCCTGGACCGCACCCTGGCGCTGGTCTACACCAACGTCACGCCGCTGCTGTACCCGCTCATCTACAGCCTGCGCAACCGCGAGATCACCGCCGCCCTGCACAGGGTGCTGGGGCGCCAGCGGCCAGGCCAAGCCCCAAGCGAGGATCTTGGCGAGCTCTGAATACAGGCCCGGACCAGGCAGAGGGGGCGGCTCCGCTCTGTAGTTTTCTCCATCATGAGGGGTCTGCATGGGGAAAGTCACCAACGGGACTCAAGGACTGCATTCAGGAAAGAGTTCGGAAATGTCACAAGGACAGCCTCCCAGCTGTTGCCCCATCCTCCACTCTTCCCTTGAATTGCCAAGACATTGTGGCCTAGAGCCCGAGACCTGGGTTTAGTGGCTCCCTAAATACTTGCTGAGTTTCTTCCTGTGTACTGGAGCCCGTGCAAGGTGCGGGGCTGGTGGTGATAAAGATGGCACAGCTCCTGGCCTCATGAGGCTCCTAGACCCATAGGTGAGAAGGCCAGATGTGAGGAGTAAACCAGAGATGGGTGGACTGGCTCATAAGACACGTTACCCCTGCTAGCCTTTTTGAGGCTGAGGGGAGTCAGGGGAAGTATTTTAGGGAGAAAGACAGCTACGCGGAGAACTGTAAGATAAGTAGGGGTTAACCAGGTGAAGAGAAGGAGGCAGAATGCTCCAAGCAAAAGTGCTTCTCAGGGGCTGGGGCATGTTGGGAGGGACCTTGGAAACAGCTGAGGAATCTGTATTCAGGGAGGGCTGTGATGGCCTGCCTCCATTGCATGGTCACTGAGGCTGCAGGGTGGCCCATGGACCGGAGAGGTGAAGACCTGTTTAGGAAACTGTTGGCATAGTCCGAGAGAGGTGGTGGAACCTGGACCAGGGTGTCAGCACAGGGGATCAAGCCACATGGAAAGAGTCCAGAGATGTGCTGGAAGTGAACGCTACAGGCCCTTGATTGGAATGGGGGTGAGGAAGAAAGAGGAGTTAAGGATCACTTCTAATCTAAGTTATTTGGTGGATGGTGGTGCCGTTGCTGAGAATACAGGAGCAGGAGCAAGTGGGGAGAAAGGGGTGGTGGCAGGGTTCTGTTTTGAACATGTCCAGTTGAAATGCTGCTAAGACAAAGCAGTGAAGATGCTGCTTGAGGAGGCAGACACACCCATCCAGAACTCAGGAGAGAGATTAAAGAGGGGGATAGATTTGGAATTATAGTTGGCTGCTGAGACCTTAAAGGTGGGCAATATCACCTGGGAAATTGTATACAGGGACAAGAAAAGAGGTCCCAGCCAGAGCCCAGAGGAAGGCTAGCAGGAAAGGGAGTACAGGAAAGGAGACTCCAGGACACTTGAGAGTTGCTGAGGTCCATGCCCTTGGGCCGTTCCTTCCTTTGCCTCTCCAGCCTGTGACCTCAACTGTAAAATGAGGGGAAGACTCCATGATCTGTAAGGTTCCTTCCTGCTCTCTGATCTCTTAAGATGGAACATGCAAGGATACATAGGATCACTGAAAAGGGTACAAGAGGAAATAAGTGTCAATAATCTAGTGCCAACTGAATGCATGAGGAATGTCAAATGGGGAATTGACACAGGTGGCATTAATGGGGATGGTTTGCTGGATGAGGCTAGGTTATCTGAAATGACTTGGAGACAGTGGTTGATTTGCCTTGACTTAAATCATCTGGAAGTCAACTGAAAGGCCTATTCACTAATTTGACTCCGGGTAATTACTGTCTGTGAATGCAGAAAGTCAGATGGTAGAAGGTCTGGGCCACAGGCTTTTCTAGACACTCTCTCCCACAAGGAGCCACTTTTTTGGGACGTGACGTGAAAGATGCTTTGTAGAGGTAATGAGCATATAAACTTCCTATTAGAATGACTGATGCTTTTCTCAGGTAACTGATATGGTAACACTAATGGACAGTGACTTTGGGAAGATACGCAGGGGACCTTGAATTGCATTTTGGCTTTCTTTCTCTTGGTTTGGGGGAAAGAAGCATAATACTAACAGAGTGATACACTAGGAAGGTGAACTAATAGCACTGGAAGACAGAGTAAAGATGATGGGGCTGGTAAAGGATTGTGGCAAAAGTCCGCAGATGAGAATGCAAGGTTCTTAGCCGGATGTGTCTGGGATGCAGAAGGGAAAGGAGGAATGAGGCAGGATGTGGTGAAGACATTAGCGCAAACCAAGTGGGAAGGACAAAATCATGACTTAGAATAAACTTGAGCATTCACCTTAAGATATGCATCAAAGTAAATGTCATGTGCATCAAACATTTAAATGTAAAATACAAAACCATTTTTAAAATTTTGAAAATATATATTAAAAATAAAAATATAACTTGTCTCCGAATTGAGAAGAGATGATCTAAGCACAAAGGCAAAAGGAGTTACAGAAAAAAAAAAAAGTCTCATGGGTTTGATTGCAGAAAAATTTAATTCTTGTGTTTATTAAAAAGTATATGTTGGCCAGGCATGTTGGCTCACGCCTGTAATCCCAACACTTTGGGAGTCCGAGGCAGGCAGATCATGAGATCAGGAGTTCAAGACCAGCCTAGCCAATATTATGAAACCAGTCTCTACTAAAACTACAAAAATTAGCTGGAGGTGGTGGTGGGTGCCTGTAATACCAGCTATTTGGAAGGCTGAGGCAGAAGAATTGCTTAAACCCAGGAGTCGGAGGTTGCAGTGAGCCAAGATCATGCCATTGCACTCCAGCCTAGGTAATAGAGCAAGACTCCATCTCAGAAAAAAAAAAAAAAAAAAAAAAGGATGTGTTTCCAGACATGACGGCATATGCCTGTAATTCCAGCTACTCAGGAGGCTGTATAAGGTAACTGCATGAGGCCAAGATTTAAGGCCGGCCTGCGCAACATAGTAACAGCCTGTCCCCCCAAAAAAAACAGATATATGATGTGTGTGTGTATGTATGTGTGTGTGTGTGTATATATATGTGTGTGTGTGTATGTGTGTGTGTGTATGTATATATGTGTGTGTGTGTGTATATATATATATACACATATATAAAAAATCAAGGTCTTGTAGTGTCCACTTATATATATATATATATATATATACACATACACACACACACACACACACATATATGTATGTGGATCGCCTGAGGTCAGGAGTTCGAGACCAGCCTGACCAAAATAATGAAACCCCATCTCTACTAAAAACACAAAAATTATATATATATATATATATATATATATATATATATATATATATGTATGCAAGTGACAAACTAGAGATCTAATTCCAACAAATATAACAATAAAATGGCTAATGTAATTATTCTTACCAAACAAAAGAAAAGAAAAACATGAACATCACAATTTTAAAAATTGGTAAGAGAGATGAACAAACAATTTACAGGATGACTTTATAAAATATTTTTTGTTTCAACTTCATTAGTAACAAAAAATTCAGACAATAAAATATAATTTGGTTCCTATCAAACTTACAAAGAATTCCTCAAACAGTTTTCAGTGTCAGCAAAGTTAGGATGTGAAGAGCACTCTTAGATGGCCAGTATAAGACAGTCTTTGAGGAGCTCCATTTCTTCTTTTAAATCATGGTCCTTACTAAGTATTGTCCTCTCAGATCCACTAATTCCATTTCTTGAAGGTTATACTGAGAAAATAATCAGAGATATGAATAAATATTTTTGTAAGGGGCATGTATTAGTCTGTTCTCATGCTGCTAATAAAGTCATACCCAAGACTGGGTAATTTATAAAGGAAAGAAGTTTAATTAATTCACAGTTCCACATGGCTGGGGAGGACTCAGAGTCATGGCGGAAGGTGAATGAGGAGAAAAGTCACATCTTACATGGCAACAGGCAAGGAGAATGAGAGCCGAGTGAAAGGGAAAACCCCTTATAAAACCATCAGAACTCATGAGACTTATTCACTACCATGACAACAGTATGGGGGAAACTGACCCCATGATTCAATTATCTCCCACTTGGTCCCCCTCACAACACACGGGAATTATGGGAGCTACAGTGCAAGATGAGATTTGGGTGGGGACACGGCCTAACTATATCAGGACATTAATTGCAGTATCCTAATATTAGTTAAAAATGCAAAGCAATGTACAGGTTCAATATTGGGATAATAATTAAATAAATATAATGGAACACTTAAAATATATGCAGAAAAGGTTTCTCATGATGTATTTTTCACCGATAAAATATCCATGATGTACTGCTGAATAAAATTTTCAAGAGGTAGAACTAATGACCCCCAAAAAACAAGTATATGTATGTACACATATACACAAATATATAGAAGACTGGATTTTTAAAAGCACCAAAACGTTTATAATTTCCATCTCTATGTGATAAGACTATGGGTAATTTTTATTTTCTTTAGTGCAAATTTTTCAAATTTTGCATAATTATTTTCAAAGTATATTACTTTTATATATTTTTAAAAATTATTATTCTTTGGATACCTGTCAATGAATCAGAGACTTCTTATCACCAGGATACAGGTCTGAATCCCACTTTCCTGAAAACAGTCTTCTCACCAATAGCTCTGGACTTATGTGAAGGGGAACTAGAGCGAGCTTTAGAGGAGTGGCTTGAGGGCTATATGTGGTATAAGAATAGCATTACACTGGCCAGGCACGGTGGCTCACGCCTGTAATCCCAGCACTTTGGGAGGCCAAGGTGGGTGGATCGCCTGAGGTCAGGAGTTTGAGACCAGCCTGACCAACATAATGAAACTGCATCTCTACTAAAAATACAAAAATTAGCTAGGCATGGTGGTGGGCGCCTGTAATCCCAGCTACTCGGGGAGGCTGAGGCACAAGGATCGCTTGAATCCAGGAGAGGGAGGTTGCGGTGAGCTGAGATTGTGCCACTGCACACTCCAGCCCAGGCAACAAGAGCGAAACTCCCTCTCAAAAAAAAAAAAAGAAAAAGAAAAGAAAGAATAGCATTACACAAAGTATTTTAATCCCCCACTAGCTTGAAGGAAACCTTGTCATTAATAAAGACACACTAAGAGAAAAAATAACAATCCACACTGTCTTGTAAAAACCTAATGAGCAAATAAATTCACTTGACGTAACTGTTTCTAAACAATGTTACACTAACATATGCTAGTATGTCAAAGAACACAAATTGGCACAAAACTTAAGTACAAATGTGAGTTACACTAGGAAAATTCCAGAATTTATTTATTCATCCATATTTGCAATAAATACATGTTGATTGAATTCCATGCCAAGACCTAAACAGTTAAGAATTCAACAGTGATCAAGATGCCACTGTATTCCTAGCACCTATGCAAATTATTGAAGAAATGAAAGTGAGGTTTATATGGAGTTTGAAAATCTAGGAGATTCAGGCAAATAAACAGGCAATTGCATTGCTGTGAAATAAGTACTATGAAGGCAGGAAATAGAAGATTATGCAGGAAAAACTAGGCAAAACTTGGGTAGTGGAAGCATCAGGAAAAGCTTATGGAATAAGTAAGGTGTAAGATCTAAAGTAAGGAGGAATAACTAGAGCCAGACAAAGAAAGCTGAAAGAGGAGAGTCCAGGCAGGGGAACAGTATGTGCAAGTGCCCCAAGGCAAAAGAGAACATGGAAACTAGTCAATATGATTGGTTCTTATTGGTAGTGATGGTTCTTATTGGTAGTCCCAGAAAGTTGGGAGAGATGTTGTGTGTGTTGCAAATATTAAGAAGTTGTGCTAGAGGAACAAATGGAAAC